TTTCATTGAATTCAAAGCTTGTAAAACAGTAACGTTTATTTTTGTCTTTAGTCTATTATACAAATCATAAGCTTTTGTTTGATGTATGATTCACCACCATAGCCCTTTTTGTTCAAAAGCTATTGAAATCTAAATGTAACTTTTTGTGCTCTATTTTCTACTCTAATCTCCAGCTTTGGACCTAATTTTATTTTCCTAATTGTTTTTGCGTTGTGGTCTGGTCTGTCATCTATTTATTCATGTATGTTTTTACACTGATCTGAAATCGGGAACCAGATCGAAATTGGGAATGAATCGAGTAGTGTTCTAGTTGACTCTTACTCGCGTGCTTGTCAGCCAATCAGGTGATAGAATAGTTCTCGTCTCACTAACCCAAGCAGTTGGTGTCAACTTCGAACTCACATATACTAACCTCAAGTTTAAACCAGTTAGCCTATCACGTCAAGGTCTTAATCTAGATTTAGAGAAGTTATCCTCTGCATAGAAGAGGGTAGACAGATCAAGGACGTAACACAAATCCATATCAATCTCCTCTGATCTTGTTTTTATTTTGGTGACTAGTTTTCATCAGTAAAGTTATCTAAGCTCAAAGAGTTTCTGTATTGATAAAACCCATCAAGAGATATAGCAGCTTAAAAACTAGATATACAACTATCATTATCTATTTATCCCATTTGTAATCCAAGTATCTTTTAAAAATTTGTTTGTTAATAAAATGATTTCCATGAATGTTCAAGTTGAAGATACTAAGAAGAAAATAGTGTTGAATAAGTTTTATATTCTCAAATATATTCTGTACTTGAACGAGTAAGTATTTCGCCAATCCTAAGATTCATATCTTAATCTAATTTCAAACTTCGTAAGCATTATGTAATATCCAGGAATTTAATCATAAGGTGACTGAACGTTAATACTAATTTTTAAGCCTAGTGCTAAACAATTATAAACAAAGATGAATAATGGCTACAAGTGGAATCCAGGATGTCCGTTTCGTCCTATTCGGGACTCGTCAGCTGGATGTACCTCCATCTTAGAGTTGATGTTTACTCCGAGACTCGAACCCAGCACCGCTCGCTTCAAGTGAATGATACCAAGTGAATCTAGTGCTAAACTTTTAAAATCACTCGTTATCGTCAACAATATCGCATAATTTAACAAAGGATTACAGTTTAAGCAAAGTCTCTCTAAACCATAAGAGGTAACGAATGTGGGTTACGTAATAATTTAATGTACTTTTAATAGATTCTATGTACATAATAGATTTCGGCATTTTACACTGTAAACATCTATATTTTCCTCTTAGAAATTTAGTCATGTTTTAACATATTTAAAACATTTAATCCTTACATATGTTTGTTCAAACATAATTGCTACAAATTTCTTACTAATGAATTAGTTATTTATATGAAATATACGATATTCTTCGAATAAATACTATTTACAACAGCTAGAAATCCAGGATAACTCCGGCTGTAGCTCTTCCAGAGTTACTGCCGGTCTCAAGCCCGGGTAATGTAGGAGGGTTGGGTATAGGGTTAGAAACCAACTCGCTAAAAAAACGCCAACCAGAAAATAAATAATGCTTCTGCACGAGGAGTAACAGGCATAAGTAAGTAACGAAGACATCTAGGATGATCTTGTAATGCTCACTCACGAAGACACCTAGGAGTGAAACTATTTTTTTACCTTTATGCCATTGAGTCAGAAACTAAGGGGTTACATTTTCAACTTCACGCAGTTAGTTATATGATGTGGTAACCTAGTGGTTAGAGGTAGTCAACAGGAAACCCTGTACCCGGGATTGGTGCTATTTGGCACACTTCAGTAAGGTGTACCTGTAATATTGAGGTAACTGTTGCTCCATGACGGATTCGATTTCGTATCATCATCCAATGTTATCAATGATATCTGTCTCATTTCGAAGAATACTGAATTTCATCCTTCACTAAAAGCCGGAAAACATATCACTAAGTTAATCACCAGTGGGTGTGATACTTAACTGAAGTAGAAGTCATAAATTTATATTGTTCTAAATGACATTGACAACACTTCCATTAAAGCAACTAGCTTTGAGAGTTCAGTACTACAATAATGATAAAATTTATAAACTTTTTTATGCCTAAACACTTTAACAGTCGTCTCAGTGTATCTGAACACTTATTCTGTATATAGGATTCAATAAACCAAAATGGATAAACCTTCAACTGGAACTCAAAACAACTTTCAACCAATATCAAAGTGAGAATCTTCAATACGAACGTCAAGGCAGTTCTACTGTATGGAGCTGAAACTTGGAGAACTACTACAACCACCATCAAGAAGGTACAAGTATTTATAAATGGTTGTCTACTCAAGATACTCAACATCCATTGGTCTGATACCATCAGCAACAGCCTTCTGTGGGAGAGAACAAACCAGCTTCCATCTGAAGAAGAAATTAGGAAAAGACGATGGAAATGGATAGGACATACATTACGCGAATCGTCAAACTGCATCACGAGGCAAGCCCTAACTTGGAATCCTGAAAGGAAGCGGAAAAGAAGAAGGCCAAAGAACACATTACGTTGGGAAATAGAAGCAGATATGAAAAGGATGAATAACAACTGGAAGGAGCTGGAAAGGATTGCCCAGGACAGGATTGGATGGGGAATGCTGGTGAGCGGCCTATGCTCCTTCAGGAGGAGTAACAGGCGTAGGTAATAAAGTAAGCACCATTGTCATTAAGCTTTTCCTTCTGAATTTCTGCGATAACGTTTATTCTCCTTTGAATTCAACCAATCTGGATAAGTTCATATCCTATTCGTTTATGTATTATTGACTTTACAAATAACTTTATATCATACATGTCCAATGAATTCACGATAATAAACTTGAAATGAATGGCATATTTCAAAAGTGAAATCCATTTTGATTACATGAAGTATGGATTATTCATTACAGCATTGCTAATAACATTTTACATTCAATTAGTATACATTATTATGTTGGATTTAACTAATGTACTACTTACTATAAATAAGTAATAAGACTCATGTAAGTTAAAACAAACAGAATAACTGTTACTATCTTAAATATGCATTTTCTTTGTTTAAGCCATATTAGGCAACCATTATTACTATCCCATTAGTCAGTCAGTCATTCAGCTACAATGTAGGATCAAGCACATAAGTTTTCATACCTCATTATTGTCCCATAGTTGTAAACTTATAAATGAAAGGAAAGCTTTAATCACAGTTATTTAAAATCGATAATATACTGCAACCGGAAATGATGACGAAAACAGAACAACAATAATCAAAGAGTAGAACACCCTTAAAATATGAATTAAGAATGTTTTTTTAAAAATATCAGAGTCAATAATTCGATCATATACTTTAAAGCTAATGCACTCAACATAAAGATTTTTTAGAGCGTTTTTAGTTGTTTAGACGTCAAAATATTTATATCACTATACATTGTTCATAATTATTCAAAAATAGAATGCTGTGTATAAACAGCTAGCTCTTCTTATATTAGATGTTGTGATTTAGTTTGAAAAGTTCGAAGAAACACAATCAATGAACTGATTTCAGGTTTTACGATGTTACGACATAAGATCTGATAAGTCTTGCAAATATTCGTTTCCTAAGCTATTCTGTAACCCCCAAGCCAGAACTATTCAGTAACCTGAACAACGAGAGAGAAGACGCAAAGTATGCGAGAAGTACTTTACTCCAAGGTTCATTTCAATACAGAAAATATAGAGTTTTTATAATATTCCAAATGTCCTTCGGTTGCTCGAAGATTCTGGAATGCTACTAAACATAGTAGCAGTATAGCAATCAGCCAATCAGAACCTTTACATGTGAAGTTTCACTTCCTTGATATTTTTGGCTAAAACTTCAGCTGAACGCTGATTGAGTGAAACGCTTCTTAGTGTTTTTGTTGATCCTTGCTTGTCTTTTGCAAGAGATTTTTTGGATCACCCCAACAAGATCAACTGAAGTAAATTAGTTGACCACATATGAAAAAACCTAAGGTGTTTTAGTTCCAGATTTCCAATTATTTAAGAATGTTTACGGATCTGACATACTTTCATCTTGATTGATTTCTAGGAACTTGATTTTACGAGGGCATAAAATATGCTTAACAACCCGGTTAACTCATAACCTCTCCAAAGAATGTCATCAACGAGTAAGATACTGTCCCTCAATCCGTAGTAACTATTCCTACCTCAAATATATTCAAAAGAATGGGTTAGCTAATAAATACCGAATCCTATGACTAATACATGCATTTTGATATCCAATTTTTGAAACTGAACCATAGATAAGTAGTATGGGCAGGGTGCAAACGAAATATTCTGATAATGTTCCAACCTAAAATTGGGAAACAGAAACCTGATAATCTTAAAAAACCCATTAACACATTATTATTATGTATCAATGATTACTGTTTAGTTCGAATATACCTTTTTCACAAGTATTTAGCTAATGCATCTCGTGAAGAAAGTCTTCAAACAACTTTAAAGCCATTTGTTCAAGCATAGATACATATAACGAGTAGTATAAGACAAATGTAAATTGTAATCACAATTGATTGATCACTGGGTGGTAATCAATATCATGTGTGTCAAGTCCTTCTTAGTGCAGATCGAATCCTATCGACCAAGTTGCAATGTGGCCACTAGTCTAGGTGACTCGACATTGCGTGCACTATGTTGAGATAAGATGGTAGTTGGAGGTAGTCGATAGGAAACCCTGGACACGGGTCTCGTGCTACTTGGCACTCGTCAGCAAGGTGTACCTGTAATCTTGAAGGAACTAGTGCTCTCTGACGAATTCGATCCCGTGTCACCCAGCTTCACAGTTAATAGTTGAATTCATGCGTCAGTTGAAGCTAGACCACCATAGCAAACCTGAAAGCACTGAACGTCCGTTCAGGTTTTCTATGACTCATGAATTCAACCATTCAATTACTATAATATCCACAAAACTCCTCTCTGATTGTAAATTGTTAAGTAAATAACAAAAGAATTAAGTATATTCTAAACATGAAACTCAAGAAGGTTTAATAATTAAAATGTAATCATCATCATCATCATCATTTTTACATTTCCTTTAGAAACAAACAACAACTTTTAAACAGTTCACTCTTATGCAAGAAGTTTCTCAGCTACCTGACGTTCAATAAATGTTGGTGGTTTATTAACAAATTTTACTTCAGATTTATGTGATTCCATTTCATTTGGATTAAAATCTTTTTCAGGTTGTTTACGATCCATACGTTGATGACGTAAATTTAAACAATCATTCTCTATTTGAAGACTTTCCTCTTTTAATGTAATATCATCATTAATACGATTTAATTGTTTATGTAAAGCATTTAGCGCATGTCTGAAATAACAATGACAAAGAATAATAAAAAATATTTGTCTACTAAACGAAAACGACTGATTATAATTCACATTTCGTCCTAATTGAGACTCGTCAGCCGAATATACCTCCATTTCAGAGTTGATGTTTACTCTGGGACTCTGACTCAGTACCAATCGCTTCAAACGCTATGGCGTTATCCACTTATCTACTGAGTCCTGATAGCTACCTACTTGTGCAATAGGGTGAATTTTTAAATTCACTTGGTGTTGTTTACTTGTATCTTACCATAATTTTTAAGGACTGCAACTGATCACTCTAGTTGGCATATGTGCTTATTGTGTGTATTGCCATGGTATTGCTTCAATTCACAAGCGTTATAAGCGAACGGCACTGGGATTGAGTCCCATAGTGAACATTAATTTTATGATGCAGGTACATCCAGCTGACGAGTCCCAAATAGAATGAACTGCGTATTCTGGATTCCATTTGTAGCCACTATTCATTTTTGCTTATAATACTTGTGAATTAAAGCAATTATGAGGCAATAAGCACAGTATGCACATATGCCAATATGCACATATGCAGTCCTAAATAACAATGGAAAGATACAAGTAAACAACATTACATATCATTGTTGATGTTCACTATGGAACTCGAAGCCAGTACTTATCATTTCAAGCACTACCATATTCAGTAAAAATAATAAGTAACTATTGTATTTATTATTATTCTTAAGGACTTTGCTCTCTCCATATTTCGTATTTAGAAACTATAAGAATTCAGTTACAATGGTAAAATATGTATTATGCAATCAAATACAGATAGATATCAAATATTCTTGATTGACTCGCACTACATCCTAATGGGTGAATAAATGTTTGTTTTTTTTATCTAACACAAATTCAAACGGCATGTTAATCATTAAAGATACTCATGTGATACCAAATAGCTTCATCGATTTGGAAAATGTATAACTAAAGTAGGTCCTTTGAGTAGTTTGTTATTCTCTGAGTTTGATGGTTTAATTTCAAACCTACTTATTGTAGTCAATTAGTGCTACATTTCAATAGAAGGCTACTAAACACAGCAAATATGAAATGAAACCAGAAACACAGTAACGATATAGTTAGTTACAAATTGATGGGTTAAATTTAGCTAACATTCTCTGTTGAATATAACCCTTATCAATAAAGAAGAATTCAGTCTATCTACATAAATCATTCTACAAAGTCAAATTATTAAAATCTAGAAATGAGCTAAAACTAGTGAATTATATAAACATTGAGAGAAGTTTATATAGTATAAATGAATATTTAATACTCTTTTTATTACCTTGCTTGACGTTGTTTCTCTAATAAGGCTTCATTTGTCAATTCAATTTGTCTTACTTCATCAGTTAAACCATATTGAACAGAATCACGACATAATTCAACACCTGGACGATATGTTCGTCTTTCAAGTCTTGTTTGTGCAAGTTTTCCCATTGGTATTAGGCCTTGAATAGCTTTCTCAAGTTGATCTAAATCGTTTTCCATTTCAGCCATTTCGTCTTCAATCTTTCAATGATATAAATAGAATTATGACTAAAAGAAAGCTAAATTTATGTTTAACGTATATTCATAGCACTAGGGACAATTAACCTACCAGCCATGTGATTACTCAGTCAATCAATATCAATCCTGGCACATTTGTACATTGGTTCAATTTGCCATTCTGCTGATCGCAGCTGCTACTTTGACGTGGTGGTCGAGTTTGCTTATCGTGATAACCCAACCGAGCCATATTGGCTGGAACATATGTCCCTGTAGGTTCTACCATGCCAGACAGGTCTATTGGAGAACGGTAAGACCAAAAGCAGTACCTCTAGGTCTGAGGGCGAAAACGTACTGTCGTAATGCTGACTGTGGAGGGGTATGACGGCAGTAAGTTGTTTCCCTTGGGCAACCAGCATCTGCAGCGATGCTGCCTTCTCACAAGGAAGGACAGGGTTAGAAAAGGTCGGCCCTAAAAATGTCGCACCTCACCTTACCTCAGAGATTTCCGTCTCCGGTAGTAAGGCCTTTTGAAAAACGGACCTCAGTCAGTCAGTCAGTAACAACGTAGAACTTCGTACGTACGTACATCAGTTCGAGTTGCCACACCACATTAACACAGAGATGCACTTGTCGATTCAAATCCCATAGTGGTAGAGGTAATAAGAGTATAAGCAGTAATCAGGAAGATTAGGGTTTGGAGATGTTATTTAGAGAGTATAATCCAGTGAAATAAATTTGGAAAGAGGAAAAAAGGGACATGAAGAATTCAGAAGATTAGAATTTGCGAGAACACAAGGAGTGGATGAACCTGCACCATTGCAAACGATTTTGAGCCATGTCATTCAGGGTCTCTAACCATCGTCCGATCACGTCGCTATCAGCCACCAATGGAGGGGCTCGATAGAAGACTGTCGCTCGTTCTGGAGCACATGCTTAGATTCAGATCATGTTCTAGTGCGAGCGCGTATTTGTCTGCGTCTTACTGGACGTAGAAAGACTCGGCACGGAAACTTCTTAGGGTTCTACTTAATGATGGCCAAGCTAAGAATATATTTCAGGAACAACTAGGAAAACAGTTAAGCAGCCATCTAAGTGACCTAAGACGTCAAAAACCTCCCACAAAAATACCGTGGGCGACCGGCCTCAATCAGTTGTCCCTTGGGCTCTGCGGTCACGCTCCCACGTTGTTAAGACCAACATTAATCCAAATTCCTTTTTACAGGTTCCTCAAGAAATACACTTCCATTGTGTGGGCAGCCGGGTAGTGAAATCAGCCCTCATACCCGTAACAGAACACGAGAACACGTTGGTCTCACTCAAATCCTTCCTACACATCCTAATACCACTCTTATCTCCCCGGCTAACTCTTCTCACATCCTTTTATCACCTCGCACCGCTAGGGCAAACGATTCGAGTACGTGGAACGTTATTCCTGGTCTTACTGAAACTACGTTCTAAAATACATGTAGGAACTCTTGACGTCCGAACACTAAGCCAAACAGGACAACAGGCTTCCTTAGCTAAGACTTTAGAATCTCGCGCCATCGATGTGTGCTGCGTCTCCGAAACGCGCATACAGGATCCAAGTAGCGTCATTCATTTGACCTCATCATATCAAAATAACTATCCAACTCGAATCACACTTCGAGTATCTGAAAGCTCTGATGCTGCTTCTCGTGGCCTCGCCGGCGTAGGTATAGCATTGAGTCCTAGGGCAGAACTAGCTCTCTTAGAGTGGATCCCAGTAAACAGTCGTTTGTGCGCTGTCCGACTGAACGGAACAGTAAGAATCCGGAAAGATAGGGACACTCGTCGTTGCCTCTTCGTCGTCTCTGCCTATTCTCCCACTGACTGCAGCTGAGATGATGTAAAAGATGAGTTTTACAGAAAGCTTTCCAACCTTCTCCGAAAAGCTAAGCGCTCGGATGTAGTAATAGTGGCCGGTGACTTTAATGCTCAAGTAGGTAAACTAAGCGATAGGGAAAGACACCTAGGTGAATCTTATGGTGTCGTGGCTCAAAGAACAGATAATGGCGACCGTCTGTTGAGCTATGCTCAGATAACCGCCTCTTTCTTGCAAATAATAGCTTTAAGCATAAGGAAAAGCATCTTTTGACAAGAAGACCTCCGAATTCGTCCCAACGTTGGACCCGAATAGATCACGTCGCTATCAGCCACCAATGGAGGGGCTCGATAGAAGACTGTCGCTCGTTCTGGAGCACATGCTTAGATTCAGATCATGTTCTAGTGCGAGCGCGTATTTGTCTGCGTCTTACTGGACGTAGAAAGACTCGGCACGGAAACTTCTTAGGGTTCTACTTAATGATGGCCAAGCTAAGAATATATTTCAGGAACAACTAGGAAAACAGTTAAGCAGCCATCTAAGTGATACCTAACCCGAGGCAGAGTGGAACGATATCCAGTAATATCTGCTAGTAAGGTAAACCACAAGATTAGGGAGAAACACTGGGACTCAGCAGCATCTGCCGCACTGATAGATGCTCGGAAACTCATTCCACCTGGCTCTGAACATAATGAAGAGCGGAGTCAGCTTAAGCTCAAGCTGACAAGAAGCCTACGCAATGATCGTGAACAGTGGTGGGTAGCGAAAGCAAGAGAGTTGGAAAAGGCAGCTGCAATAGGTAACAGCGGACAACTGTTCAGATTTGTTAAGGAAACTGACTGTAAGCGAAACACTCTCAGAGAAAGATGGACATATTATACATCGATGGGCAGAACACTTTAGGGATCAGCTCAACTGGCCTTCAGCCACGCTTCAGTTTCCCACGATCTCCAGTCAACCTGAATGGCAAGTTAATTTAGGTCCCTCGACTTTTTACGAGGTTGAAAAAGCTATAGTAAATCTGAAGCGTAGGAGAGCAACAGGCCCTGACAGATCTACTCCTGAGGTTTTTAAGGATGGTGGTCCAGTATTAGCAGTGAGATTGACTGAGGTCTTAGGTAGAATTTGGGAACTGGACGTAATCCCATCTGACTGGTCTCAATCACTGATTGTGCCAGTCTATAAGAAAGGACAAAAGTGCTCTTGTGACAATCACAGAGGGATCAGTTTGACTAATATAGTGTCTAACATATTAGCTTCAATAATACTTCGACGCCTAAATAAAGCTCATGAAGGGCAGACTAGAGAAAACTAGGCCGATTTTCAACCTGGATGTGGCTGTATAGACCAGATATTAACATTGCGTCAGTTCCTAGAAAGTAGACACACATTCAGATCCTTTCTATAAGCAACGTCGCAAGCATATTCGGCATGCGATTCTCCACCTCGAAATTCAAAATTTTACTTTAGGAGTGAGTGGGTCACCTGAACTAATGATAGGGAGTGAAGCAGTTGAGCGTGTCGGCCGCTTCACTTATCTTGGAAGCCTCATCAGCCTTTGTGGTCTGGTGTGTGACGAAATCTCAGCACGGATACAGAAGGTTCGACTAGGTTTTGCCAACTTGCGTCATTTATGATGTAGGCGAGATATCCGTCTATCAAACAAAGGATGGGTTTACTGCGTAGCAGTTCGTTCCGTCCTACTTTATGGCAGTGAAACATGGTCGGTAAGAGTAGAGGATATTCGTAGGTTGGGATCCGCGAGACGATAGCAACCGACGGTTAGAGACCTTGAATGACGTGGCTCAAAATCGTTTGCAATGGCGTAGGTGCATCCACTCTTTTTGTTCTCCCAAATTCTAATCTTTTGAATTCTCATTACCACTTTTTTTTCTCTTTCCAAATTTATTTCATTGGACTGTACTCCTTGAATAACATCTGCGAACCCCAGTCTTTCCGATTACTGCTTATACTCTTACTACCTCTACCCACTATGGAATTTGAATTGACAACTACATCTCTGCGCTAATGTGGTATGGCAACTAGAACTGATGTACGTACTTACGAAGTTCTACGTTGTTACTGACTGACTAACTTAATCAAAACAGCAAGATGGAATTATCAGAGAAAATCCCGGGTAGTGGAGGCAGTAGCAGTATTAGTGGTAGTCGAAAATGTTAGGTTTCGAAAATAAAACATAAGGAAATGTAAATTAGGGACTGAGATGACTAGACAGAGAAACATTATCTTATGTCTAACAAGTAAAAACTCTTATGATGGGCGATTTCCGGGATCTGATATTAATGCACTACGTGCTACACGCTAACGCCCACCCACCGACATACTTGGGTGAGAACATAAGAGTGAACGATAAAGTATTTCAGGTTCAACATATGAAAAGCGTACGAAAACCATTCTTTTTCCGTTTTGCTTGAAATGGTTAGAATATAGCAAAAAACAAGTTCCCAGAAGAGTCTCCTATTATTTTTTGAAAAGTCGTCAGTTCGTCAAATAACGAGTTGCAAATATTGGAGGTACAGGGCTTAAAAAGCTTGTGTAGTTTAAAATATTGCTAGGTGAATCTAAAGCTTTGCGGCTTTTTGAATCAAAAAATTGAAGTATGACAAGTGTGAAGTAAAATAAAAACTCTAAATTTACAAGATAAGTAATATATAGGTCTGCGTTGCAGTGATCACGGACCAGAGGAAGTCTATTATTACCACTCAAACTTCAACCATCAAACTTATTACTGATGAACTGACTTGCTTTAGCTGCCAATCACTTCATGAACTTATGTTATATTTCCATCTTGTCATTCATACGTTTATCTTAACATACTGATGTTCTGGATAGTATAATACATCTTGGATGAATGACGACTGATTCAGTATGCTTATTAATGAAACGTGACTTCAGAAGCATTTGACAGAAAGTTAACAATATAAAGCCTCTAGATAGATGTGTTCTGAATGCTAAGAAACCTGCATTTACCAAGTTTCATAGAAAGTGATAATTTTTTATCGCTCAACTATTATTCTATAATAATTTAAACATTCAATAGAACGTTTATAAAAGTTAAATTTCTGTTAATATAAGAAAGGATCTATTCTATATTTGGAGTTAAATGAATTACTACAGTTTAGCAAGAAACTATGGTTTCATTTACTGAATTATACATGGGTCACCTTAAAATACAAAGGCTAATGATACCGTTTTAAAATACAATCAAGCAGCTAATGGTTGACTGTTTAAAACGTAGTAGTTCTGGAACATTGTTTCGGTGATCCAATAAAAAATATCAGCTTTTACCTGTTTCTTTTGCCATTTTAATTCATCGAGGGCTTGTTCAAAATCATGTTTTCTTTGTCTCAATGCAAATTCTGTTGCTTGAGCTTGAGCCTCTAAGTCATTCGAAACTTGGCATAGTGTTAGATAGATCGCTTCACGTAATCTCTGTCCCGAGCGAATTTCCGCCTGAGCTCTCTGCCAGTTGTACCTTGTGAATTCTTCCCATTGTTGTGGAGTAGTTGTTCTTTATGTGGAATATATATTAACAAACAGAATGTCATACGGTAATATAACTCTTAAGAATCATTCGATGCTTATATTAAACAAGTCTCATCTAATGAAAGATTTAAGTTTAAATAACTAATATTAAAATACAGAACTTTAACAATAAGAATTTATCTAAGCACCTTATTTTGTATACCAACCAAATAGAAAACTGGCACGAGTACAGCACTTAAGAGGTAAGAAGTAAAGATATGAAACATTAAATTATAAATTTTAAGGAAAGCAACTAGTCATTTTGTAACTAGAGAAAATGAGTTATTAAACTACGTTTGGTTGAATGAGTTACGAATTCATTTAGGCATTCGCTAAGTTTCTTTTTTCATGTTTGTGCTAATATAGCATGGGTCCCAATATGGCATGGTGTTCAGAACCAATGCATATTAGTGCCAGTCCCTAAGCTGATTATGACTGATATGTTTGCTTACAAATGACCATAATAAGTCATTTGTGTAATAAGATATGCATTAAAATATCTAAGACAACATCAAGCAAGAATGTCACAATATTTGTGATTGGCACACAAATTTGGACAAAAAATAAACTCATTTTGCACACAATTACTGGTTAAACCGAGGTTTTCTAATGCAGAGCACGTTTCAGGTTGAATACATGTTTGTTTCCGTAAAAATAAGAAAAATAATGAATGATTTTATGAATTAATATCGCGCCAGGATTGTCTTTATACATTTTAGTTAAAAGGTTTTGTCAAAAAAGAAGACGAAAGTAAGGGTAAAACTGTTCAAACCATGACCATTAAATCATAAGCGCCATACATCTAAGACCTGATAATTGTTCGAAAACAAATCTAAATTCACTCTTTCACAACTCATCTGCTGACAAATACGTAGAATGACGTACCAGTTTTCGTAAATTTGTACAGGAGAAAAATTCGTTTTCTATAGGTAACATTGTGGTTTACAGGGCTTACTTATACGTTTCCAAACAATTTAAAAAGAAACCCGTGAGAACATTAGTCTTAATAAAAAGAAATATTTGTAAATGAATAGTCTACAGTAGATTTACAGTTTTATGAAAACACTTATTTTGGTTAATTGTGATCATTTCAACTAAATATTATGGCAATGGACTTCGGAATTTTCGGTAAAGAGATCAGTTTAACAGATTGCTCCACAATTCAAACTGCTTATAAAAACTAACGATTGCAAGGCACAAGATTTGGCTATATCTATTTTATGTTTACAAAAACTTTTCTCCTTGGTGTTTGTCTAGTTTATGTTTCACACACCCATATCTCTTCATGAGCACTGAAAGACAGTTTTTTTGTTCAAACGCCTTTCGTGAAGAAAGCATAAAAAATAAGTGCAGCACACAAAATGAGGTTTAGAGCACTTTTAAGATAAATATAACATAACTAAGGATAAAATCATAAATCATTTACTCGCATCACAGAAATTGCTTCAGGTTGTCCCGGTTAGACTGGTTATCATCTAATACAAAGCATGTCACCGTCACATATTAAAGATACATATAAAAACCTCATTAACCTATTCCCAGAAAATCCCAAGTACTATCACTCCATTAGAGTACAATTATGTTTTACAACACGAAATTTATAAACGATGAGTTTCTGCTTGGATGTTTCACTGATGAATAACTCATTTATAGCAATTTACTCCAACTATGAATTTGTTCACGAATATATAACCTCTTGATTACGTACTTTATTTCGCATGTTCCATGCTGATTTGAAAAGAGTCTAGGTACCATGTTTGTATAAAATAGAGACTGTTTTCTAATGTGCAACGCACTTCACTTTAAGTGCAATATGATGCATCTCCGTCACCTTACTGTCTATATGTGGTGGCCGACTTGTTACTACCAGAGTACATTTTGAACTGAGCTAGGAACTATTAGTTTGTGTACAATACTCAGTCCTTCTACCTCTATTTATCATATCAAGGGCTTTACTCAATGTTTGAACAATCGATAAGTCACACTGAAATAAACAGATGTCTTTTAAACGTTTATTAGAGGAAATATATGACTACAGTTACCCTTTTGGAATTCGTGTTGGATTGAGCTTGAAAGAAACTCCTGGACAGGTATGTGTCAGTTTGTACTGTTGGATGTCAATGTCCATAGCAGCATGCTTATCCTGTAGGTCGAGTAATATTTGTTGTCTGGCCTCTTTAAGAAGAACCATTTGTTCAAATGCCTCATCCACTTTCTGCTGAAGTCTTTTATTGGATTTATCAATCACCTCTTTTTCCTATAACTAATATGAACACAAATCATCGACCTAACTTTCTTTAACTGAATCTCCGGTGCATCCTCAATGTTGTCTATTTTTTTGCGTCTGTCCCTAAGTGTGAGACACTCTGTAACGCATTCTTTGGGTGTTATTATATTTCTCATTTGTTCCTCAACTACCTCTTTCCCTAGGTTGACCATCGATATTTCCGCATCTAATTGCGAGTGAGCCAGTTCCAAAACATCTTTCAAGTCTTTTATCGCATCAATTCTGTCTGCAAGTCTTGTAGTGTTGTTAAATTCATCCCATTTTGTTTTAAGAGCAGCTGCTAGGCGTAAAGAACGTGTTTCTTGTCTTATTTGCTCTGATGCCTCTCTCTGACGTTGAGAATTAGTACTTAATGCGAAAGAGTTTGTGAACCAGTCAGGAGGTTGATATTTTATTGACGGTTTAGCCAATGTTGACATTTAAGATAAATCAAATACTCGGAACTCTTTACTATAACAACGTTGGCTAAAACAAAGTGTGAACTTACGAAGCCCTAATTAGTAAATACACGTATGAGTTAATGACTGTTGATAATGATATGTGTAAATTTCTAGATTGCTATAATGTCATTCATTATTATAACGTTGAACACATATTGTTATTTCATGTCATACTAATCTCAGTATCGACATAATCAAGAGTTCGGCGTTTTTTTGAAGTTCGAGTCTTGTCCATATAGATTGAAGATTATACAAGAGCCTGTATTTACGACGCTTCAGAAATAAATTTAAACGAGCTTATTCAGTTCAAAAATGTTACGGATAAACAGAGTTTGACAACGCGGCTGCCTATGATGTCTTTTTAATCGAGGATCCCAAAGTCAGTTAAAATATTGAGAAGGTAGTCAATGTGTCTAGAGGCATGTGATCGAAGTTGACTGGTTGTCTTGGATGATTGGCAGTATGGCTTACCAAACGATGACCTAGAGAGGATGAATGATTGTGAAATTTCAGATGAAGGTTTGCACAGTGAAACTAAGAAGGTCAGAATTAATTTATCGAGCCAATAACGAATTGATTATAATCATCAACAACTCAATAAGACAAGATGGGAACAGAGGGAACGGAACAAAGATGGCAGTAATTACTACGACTCACATTATTTAAGGCTTCTAATGACGGTGAAATTATAGTGTAACAACAGACCGGTAGGCTTGCTTAGTTGATCCAGTAACAAACATAGCTATAGATATAAAGTTCCTATAATCTCACTTGTTGAATAAGATATACTTACAGGGGTAGGAACATCTGGTGCATCTTCAGAGGAGAGGTAAGCATTTACGCTGCGAACAAAGGATGGCATTGATTTTATCTCACGGACAGATTATGATACATCATTCCAGAGTGTGAGAAATTAAATAACAGAGTAATCTATATAGAGAGACGACTTACAGTGTGTTTGTTTCAATAATGACAAGGAGTTATAGATTCTTAACCTAGGAGTTTCTGCGCATTTCATTACTTCATAGGAATGCAAAGTGTAAATCGTTTCTGGACGAATTCCAACATTAATTTACCTGCTAAGAATAAAGGTGTAGTATTATAGGAGTGTTCAACCATATTCTTTATACGTGAAAATACGTGACTCGTTTCAAATTATATATATATATGTATATATATATATATATATAAAACGTTGGATCTTGGAGTTCTATTTCGAAAATTGTTCTGTGAAAGACAAACTGTAGTTGTACCTAAGCTGGGGTTGAAGCTATCACGAATTCATTCAGTCTGCAAACGGGAAACAAGACTCGGTGACCAAAGACCAGCAAGCTGGCTACTGATGCGTCCCACCCCCACTAACTAGAGGGAGAAGTCCAAGCCCGGAATGGGGAAGTATATTCTGCAAACAGCCGGAAACGGGCGATAACAACCAACACAATTCAAAACGTATAGATGTAGTGGCATCGGACTATAACCACACAATCCTCAAAGCTGAACACGAGACTACTCGGAAAATAGATATTCAATATTTAACGCGGAGAAATGCATAACGATGGAGAAGGCGGGAACAAGGGGTTGAATGAATTGGAGTTGATCGGATGGCATGGCTCGGCCTTGCAGGCGTGGTCCTTGTTGAATGCTATCTTATATCGTTTATTCATATTAAACACATTGTTCTATCTCTAGCCTAAGCTTGTTCTACATGTATTGATGATTGCTACGACACGATGAGTTGGTGTGACTTCTACGTAAGATCTTATAGATTAGGCAGTTATATCACGACAAGTTTACAATTTTAGGATTAGGTCTATTATTAGCGCAGCACTAATATCACAGTACGTCGAGTACAGACTAAATCGATCAATCCACGTTACGAATCACCGACGAGTCCTCCAGTTAGCAGGCAATTTTTTATAATCATAGATACTAATGGAGTAATCTATATGAGCTGGTGGTTGTTCATGTCAGTCTGACCACCAGATTTTTAACATGGTGTGATATATGTTGTTTTCTAACGGTCATGGCAAGTGCCTGACTCCTGTGCGATAGAAAAAATAACTTCAGAAAGAATGGTGGAATATCACATCCAACGTATTTGTTGAGAACGGATGAGTTCACTTGTAGTCCATGACCGCTTGAAACTCTAAGGTAGTTTATAGCCTTACAATTCTCCTGGAAATTGGAAGAAATAGAGTTGATTGTAACATCAGTCGCATACTTCACTTTTAAAATGATGCTGTTTGGGTGCTAATTATCCCAATCTCCCGATTCCAGGGAAATTTTGGGGAAGCCGCCATAGCAAACTTTGGTGAAATGGCACAAAAACCCCAAAATTCCGCCTTAACCGTTGTCAAGGTCATTTGATTTAGGGATTTCCCCAAACATTGGCGAAGGCCATTTGACTTCGGGAGTTTCCGCAAAATACCCCAAACTTTGGAGCCCGGGATTGTTCGCAAAATGGAACTGAAAAGGCTTGCCGTTATTTTGCCATAATACATGGTGCTTGGTACATTTGCATTTTGAGTTACTATGACACGTCTATTGAAAAAAAGGATTATTTTACTAATTGTCGGCCATTATTAAGTGCTAACGAATCCTAATTGATGGACATTAACCTTTTCTTTTCTTCGACTTTGTTAAAACTTATATTTCTTTGTGCAACTGCTTGAAGTCGTTTGTCTCAAAGTAATGTTTCTGCAGTTGCCTTATTTTATTACCACATTTGTAAATAATTCGTAAGGTTTACGTGAAAAACATTTCTCTTCTACAACCTTACCAGTGAGCGCTGGCAGTCTCAGTTAGTATGTTATTAGTCTTTATATTGACTATTTTTTGTGGAAATGTTATAATGGGGACAGATAAAAAGGGTACTAACTACTATTTCATGGTTACTGCGTTCACATTTACCGCACGCTTATATAAACATTAGGATGATATTTCTCTAGAATATTGGATCATGTATATTACCATACCTTGCTATCGTACGAACCCACAGTAACCAGCAGTGTATGTTGTAGATCACCAACGTAGATGATCTATGTTGGATAATCGGAGGCCTACGCGAGTTAGACGGGAATGGTGTGACGAACCAGCTAACGTCAAAGTCACACCTCGTGGTCAACACCATTGACGTATCAAGGTAAAATAGATGAGTTGAAGACTGCACAACACAGAGGACGTTATTACAGAAATATATTAGTTAAAGCAGATACAAGCGAAGGTAAGGCCACCACCGCATGGGCCAGTCCATGGCGTGCGATTAACTGATGGGCGTTGGTTATCCTTGACCTTGACGAAGATCAATGACTTGTCCGATATTCAGTGACCCAACTGATTTCGCTAGAGCCCAGTGAAATTTCATTGGCCCTACAATCTCAATTTTCGCTGAGAATTCACAATTACATAACACAATTACCGATATTCCAGTTTATCCCAGATTAATTGAAATCTCATGTAGTAACCTCAGACTTTATGCCTAGAGCATATGCATGTATAAATGCATCAATGATAAAATCATTCATATTATCCGAAATTTCAGGGGTTCTGTTTATACATCTTAAGAGTAGACTATGATTCATGGTGTTGACTGATATCCAGATCGATTCAGGTAAACTATTCAGGACACCATTTTCAACTTCATTAGTTGTTAGGGTATCCAAACGATAAGGAAGACAACCAGTCCCCCACTTAGTCTCTCTATCAAAGCGATAGAGCTTGTAGTTCTAGATGTTTAATTCTGAATTGGATACTACAAGAAAGCGATATTTGCCAGTGAAAAGTATGAAAATAAGTTTGTCTTGTAAAGGTATGATTCTTAAAGATGAAAATTCAGAAATGAATTTGTACTGATAAGCAACAAATTTATCAGGAAATATTGAGTGTAAAAGAACGGAGAACTTCCTTATCGATGTTATTTATTCTAGATATGGTACTAGCCATTTATTTGCATAGGGTATCTAAATTTTATTAGCTTCCATACAACTGACTTATTCAATGGCTGAGTTATTTCATCTAGGTTTGTCGTCTCAAAGTGTTTCAGTAGTTTCCAGTGTATCATGACTCTCAAAATGCTCCGATGTAAACAGTCCCACACTAATATGGTCTTTTTTTGGTTTTACTAACTTTGCTAAACGAAGACTTTGTGACCGACCTTGAATGCATCAACGACATTTGAATTTAATATGTCCTGGCATGTGATGATCCATTTCTGTTGTGATTGATATAGCGATTCGTTGTGTATCACTCTATAAATAGCGTAAAAGCGGCGACTCATAATTTTCAGAGCATGGGGATTCGGAAAATGAAATATATATTTTCAATGATCCATTTGAATATAAAAACGGTGAAAGTACCGCATAGTGTAGTTTGTATGTTTATAAAAAGATGGTTGTCTGGAATCAGCAGAGCGCGAAGTAAGTGATCCTTTCTCTAAGGTAAGCGTGAACGCTAGTCATAGAAATGTACAGGGTATGCTTCACTTCCATGCCACTTCATACAACAGATGGTACATTTATATGTTTATGTACGTATATTCGGTCAAGATAAAGAGCTTGAAAGTTGGGTGGTTGTGCAGGTATTAATCCAATAAAGTTACACGTAAATGGCGTTGCAGCATAAGCATTAACTTAGGTTAAAATCTAACAGCACCTTATATATACTTTTTGACTCAATATCACCCTGGTAACGGGCCATTCTATCTAGTTGACTCAATTAGCGAGCAAATAAATGGATGCCAGAATAATATCGTTAGTTAAATGGAATAGTAAACGGAATACATCCATTAAAACATTGAATAAGATCCAATAGATCGAAAAAGTACATAATATTGGCACACTGAAGTCTAGGTCTATTCATGCTGTTCATTTTAATAACGCATGCTGGTAATTCCTGACATTGAAAATATTTCACAAGTAGTCCCACATAATATCAGTTATCAAACATAGAAAAGACGTAGCGTGAATAATGATTACACCAAATCTCAGCGATATTTCACTGACCCTATTACTTATAGTTTAGCACAGTCGCATGTTATTTCCGCTTTCCAAGCACATTTGACGAGAGTGCTATCCTTTTAGACATAGTGGAAAAGCTCCGGATATAGCGTCTAAAATAAATATAGAAAGTGGTGTGAATAGTTCATAATGGAATTAGCTTTCATTCTCTTAACCTTGGAAATGAAGGAATTCTCAAAACATCGATTTCGATAATTTCTCCATAGATATGGAGTGGTTCTAAAACACTTTCATGATAAAGTTTGACCAGACGGCTGAAGTTACGAGACATATATGCAGAAGAACAGATACGAAGAAGTGCTTCTAGGGTACTAAAATGTAATCGGAAGCTCTTTATTAAACTATATTTAAATAAAGCGCTCTTAAATTTTTAAAATATATCCACTTGCGAATGTAGAGTAGAATTTTACAGTTTTGGTGTAATGTGAATTCTCAGTTTCGAACAAGCGAGTGATAGATTGAAAGCTAGAACTACACAGCAACCTGAACACCAGAGAGAAGACGCAAAGTATGAGTGAAATACTTTACTCCAATATTTGATTTTGTACAGAAAACATGGGTATTTATAGATGTTAACGTTTGTTAAATCAACATCATATTTCGGCCAATCCGTTAACGACATATTATGCTACTGACCAATAGTAGTACGCCACGCTGGAATTCTAGGATGCTCCATCATGCTCTGATTGGCTAGGACTCTTCGACTCCTTTTGGGCCTCTGGAGGCTCCGTTGAAGTTCTCAGAAAGCCGACTCAACACCTCCCCCGAATAAGATTTCTTTCTAGGATCTGCTTATAGCTTGACAACTGTGTTGTGGCGGCGTCTCATTATTCTTGTCGTCTGTCTTGTCCGAGGCTTCTTTTCGGTGGGCTTGGGCATGTGTAACATTGGTGTATCTAAGATTAACCCTAACGGAAAATTCGACTGGTTGTTTTGAGACTGCATCGTTCCAAGAGTTCCTCGGACTTTGTGCAGAACTTATATCAAATTTTGTAGAACTTCTCCCGGCTCCCATCGATTCTTCACGATATATGATTTAATGAAAACTTTGTCACCAACGTTAAAGTTCCGGATATTTGGATTGTTATTGCGCTCATCCACTAATTTGGATGGCAACATGGTGTTGAAGACAGTTCACATACGCCTTCCGGACATAGCTTCAGCAGGAGACTTGCCGTCTGGAACATTCGGGTTCGGGGTGGATCTGTAAGATGTTAAAAAATTTCGTGAAAACCTGTCCAGTCGCCTATTCACCTCCCCATTTCAGTAATGCTCGTTTAAAGGTGTCCACAAAGCGTTCTGTTTGTCCGTTTGATTGCGAATGATAGGGTGGAGAACGAAGCTGAGTTATCTCGTTTGCTCTACAGAAATACTTAGATGCTTCTGCGACGAACTGCGAGCCTTTATCCGTTACTAGGGTCTCTGGTACTCCGAAACAGCTAAACAGGGTAGACAACTTGTGGTTTGTTTCTGATGTTGTATGATTCGGCATGGTATATACTTCCGGCCATTTAGTAAATGCATCTGTAGTGGCATTGAACAGTAACCACACAATCCTCAAAGCTGGACACGAGACTACTCGGGAAATAGATATTCAATATTTAACGCGGAGAAATACCTAACGATGGAGAAGGCGAGAAGAATGTATTGAATGATTTAGAGTTGATCGGGTGGAACGGCTCGGCCATGCGGGCGTGGTCCCTCTGAATGTTACCTCATATTTTATATTCATATTAAACATATTGTTCCTTCTCCAACCTAACCTTGTTCTACATCATGTATTGGTAACTGATACGATACAGTGAGTTAGTGTAGTCGATGGTGTGACTTTCACGTAAGATCGTATAGATAAGGCAGCTATATCATGGCAAATCTACAATTTTGGGATCAGGTATATTATTAAAGTAGTACTAATATCATAGCAGACCATAATCCTACACATCTACGGTAATTAGGAACATTTTTCCTTGGATTGGATCGGCAAAATCTGCGTGAAGTCTTACCCAGGGTCCTGCAGGCGTAGGCTAATACTAAGGTTCGCATTTCAAAGGATTTTTAGAGGCTTGAATGCATGATGGACAGTTACGGCATTTATTATTGATATATTTGTCCGTTGACGGCCAATAAGCATAACTACGAGCCAACGATTTTACTTTATTGATTCCAGGATGACCACTGTGAAACTGCTTGAGGACCTTGTGACGTAATAACCTCGGAATAACAATCCGATCACCGAAACATAATACACGAGTCAACAACCATTAGTGAGTTTCGTCGACGAAACTATTGCAAAAGTTCTCCGTCAAGGCAATTGTTTGGCCATGTGGTCGAGAGATAGCATTTAACCGTGCTCATTATCTTATCATTTTCAGTGATCTTCTTGATAGTTTCAAAGGTTACTGGGAGTCCATTGATTGCGTCATCCAATACGCAATGAACTTCCTCCTCGGTTTTTATGTTTGCTACAAGAGTCTCCTCCGGGGTTTTTGATTGGGAGCCTATTAATCTTGACAATGCGTCAGCTTGCCCGAAGGCGGTAGTAGACTGATACTTGATCTTGAAGTCGTAACCCAGAAGTTTGCTTGCCCATCGTTGTAGTCGGTTAGCTGTATGAACAGGAATTCCTTTCTTTACCCAAAAACTGCAAGTGATGGCTTACGGTTTGTTATTAGGGTAAAATGTCGACCATAAATCATCTTATGGAACTTTTTCACTGCAAAGATAATTGATAGGGCTTCTTTCTCAATCTGACTATAGTTCCTTTCGGTCGTAGTCAAAGATCTGGCAGAGTGAGAGATAGCTTTTTCAGACCTATCAGGAAAAATGTGAGAGATGACTGCACCCACACCATAGTTAGATGCATCTGAAGTAACGACTATCGGCAGCGAAGGATCATAATGTGTCAACAGTTATATCCCAATGAGAAGGAAAAATAGTATTTCTTACGTTTCGTGACTCTGTGTAAGTCACTTGATCAGAGTAAATAAATCATTGAAATTCACTCTGAAGAAGTAGTTTACATCAAGTCACGAAACGTCAGAAATACAATTGTTCTACAAAGAAATATATATTAATTATTAGATCAATTTCATTCAAGTTCAATGAATAAATACAGGCTACCTTATTAAGATCCACATAATTACCATAACCAATAGTTGGAGATTTTGGATAACATCGTTTATTATTGTTTCCAATGACATATACATTCATTCTTCACCCTCTCTTAGATCTAAAACTTCTTCTTTCTATTACTAATATTTTTTTCTCTAATACTCATATAGTCACTATTTTCTCTTGACATTCATTTTGATAATAAGGTGTAAGAACTTGAACCGAGGTAATAAATGTGCCACTTTCTACATTACACATGACTAACTGACTCCAATATGTAACTATTATGATGTTCAATATTCCTATGTTGAAGAATATAAATAACTCAACAGATTTTGAATAATGTAACATATTTGTTACCTGAATTCATTTCTTATTATTTCATTAAATTTTTTAGAAGAATAAGATAGATATAAGAAAGAATAAACAATAATTGAATAGAACTAGAAAGAAGGAATGTCTAAGACAAAATAGATTGAAGAATGTTGATCGGCAGCCTATACCCCACTGGGGGGGGGGCAACAGACATAAGTACGTAAGTAAGTAAGTAAATTAATTTTGTAAGTAATATCTAATTTATGATACATAAATGCATAAAATCTTATTAGAAATAGGATAAATACACATTTAATTTATTTTCGGAAGTCAAATATAAAATACTCTGAAATTATATTAGATGATCTTTTAGTCACTTTAATCAAACACTAATGTCATTTAAGAAATATAATCATGATATTGCTACCATAATTAGTAATGATAATAATAATGATAACAGTAGTAGTAATCGCGGTAGTAGTAGTAATAGTAGTAGTAACAGTAATAGTAGTAGTAGCAATATTAGCAGTAATAGTGATAGTAGCAGTAGTAGCAATAGTGATAGTAGTAACAGTAGTAGTAATAATAGTCGTAACAGTAATGGTAGTAATAGTAGTAGTAGTAATAGTAATAGTAGTAGTGATAGTGCTAATAGTAACAGTAGTAGTAATAGTAGCAGTCATAGTGATAGCAGTAGTATTAGTGATATTAGCAATAGTAACAGTAGTGGTGATAGTGATGGTAGTAATCGTATCACCCACAGCAACAATAGTAGTCATAGTAACAGTGGTAGTAGTAGTAGTAGTAGTATATAACAATCAGAAAATAATAAATAAAAACAGATTTGAGGAAACAAATAATGTTTCATTAGGTTCTTTTTTATTCTTCTTATTATTATTTGGATAAATAAATTTCAAAATAAAAATTAAATAAACAAATTTTCATAGAAATAATCGAATTCAATGAGGAGATTACTTGTATTACACACTTTGGTATCCATGAATGAATGATTCTGGAATTATTGATTTATTTTATTCTTACTATATAAATATCAATAATAATAATGGTATAAAGAAAATAACATGGATAATAAAAATAATAATAATAAATCAATAATTATAATAACAAAAAAAATCAATAAATTTTCTTTAATTTGAAAATTAAAAAATAAAAATCTCTTTATCAGAATGGGTTTTGTGGAGAGTTTTAGAAATTTCACAGGTTGAAATCATGAGTCGATTGAAGCTAGACCACCATGGAAAACCTGGAAGCACTGGACGGCCGTTTCGTCCTAGTATGGGACTCCTTAGCAGTGAGTATTCACGATCCCGCACCACGCGGGATCTCTTTTTTCATTGGAATAATTATGAATGGTGTTTTGAACTGTCCATTAATCACTATCTCACACATTCACAGACACATTTGGCTAATTCTTGTACAAATGTTGTTTTATATTTTATTGGTACGTTGTGGTCTGTTTGATTGGTACTATACACCCACGATTCATATTACAGAGGCTGAGATTTGTGTTATTGACTTAACAGGTAGGGCAAAAACGGGAAGCAGGAATTATAAGGAAACTAGACTGCTCGTACTGGTTTCATGCGTCATTGGTCCGATCGATAATTTACTGTTCTCTAATTGGCGGTATCATCACGTTATACATTAACAGGGCACAAAGGCTACTAGTTATAACACTTATATTAAGTCTATATTATTTCCTGTTAGAGAGTGAATAACTTTAAGACAAAGTTTTGTTACAAGAAAAGTTAGATGGTGGATAACAGTGGAATATACGATGCATGATTCGTCTTAAATAAGACTCATCAGCTGAATATATATCTGTATCACACAGTTGATATTCATTCAAGGGTTTCAACCCAGTACCGTTTGCTTTAACCGCCATTGCATTATTCACTTAGCTAATGACTGCTTATAGCCACTTGATTGTGCAATGGCTGATCTTTAAATTCAGAAAAATGGGACAAAACGCATATCCTGGATTTCACTGCTATCCACGATCCATTTCTGTTCATAAAGCTTATGAATTAAGACAATATCGAGCTAGTCCACACCTGAGTCGATCACCATGGACAACCTGGAACAGAATTGAACCCATTTCATGAAAAATCATTTTATAAGACAATCATTTATCTTTATACATTCATCAAATTGGTTCAATATTCACATTTGGAATCTATTAGCTAAAGTAAATAATAGTTTTTTCATAAATAAACTAATTATTTATTTGTTATATAAGAAAATATACTACAAGTTAGTATATGACTAGAGAAATCACGATCTACCTAGGAGAATGTCTAAATAAAAGGTATCTGTCATAAGAGGACGAGTTTATACACAACTCCATTCTCTACTGATTGATAGTAATAGTTTATTATTGTATTCTTTTCTTAACTAATGTAAATAAAGAATGATCAAACCTTGGAACTACCCTCCAAAATAATGTTATCACCATTAATATCATTACTATATATGGCTACTAATTAGTTTCTAAGTAGTATTTCAGCAATAAAAATTTTTTGAATGTCTGATTTGTGCACTAAGGGTGAATAACAGTAAAACCAAATAACTAAATGAATAAACCAACTTTTATTACATAAGTTTATCATCAATCCTGTTACATATGCTTTTTTGTGAAATATTTACGATAAAACGTTACTACAAAAGATGTTTGATCGATTAGTTTCACAGTATTTGGGCGCCGAGTTAATGTCAGACATTATTGAGGAAGAATGTATTTGTAAAATCTCTGAATTCATTCGCTGAGATTTTACGAAAGATGATTTTTTCCGACTCTTTTTTCGTCAGTACAGCAGTATGTAGAAGCGGTATACATTATCTATGGACAAATCCTAGTGACCAGCTACGTCAAAGTTGAAATTAAAACCAGAGTCTTTATAAATAAATCTAAATGGTAGTTGTTATTATCATTTCCTCAAGTCTGAATTTATACAGGAGTTCGTTATGTGTGGTAATCAATGTCATATGTGTCAGGTCGTGCTTAATGCAGATCGAATCCTATCGAACAAGTTGCAATATGGCCACTAGTATAGGTGACTCGACATTGCGTTGAGATAAGATGGAGTTGGAGGCAGTCGACAGGAAACCCTGGACCCGGGTTTCGTGCTACTTGGCACTCGTCAGCACGGTGTAGCTGTAAAGGTCATTTTAAACTTTACAATTTCTCGTCAAACAATTGGTTTATTCATTACCAATCTATTCTTGTTGTATCAGGATTTGTATTATAGAGTAAACTATCTCATCAATATGTATTTCCACTTTGCTAGAGAGATAAAATAACATTGGGGTTGTACTGATACTACTAGCTTTACTAAATATAAGTAGTTTACGATTTAGAAAATTTATTTATAAAACTATGCAATGAATTACAATAGAAAACCAAATTAGCATAACAAAACGCAACATTTTTTCTAAGCAACGTTTATATAAGCAAGTATATGCACAATTAAGAAAAAAGGGATAATCGATATATAATAATAAAGGATTCGCTTAGTGAACGAAGCACATTTCATCAATATTTCATGCAAAAACAACCAATGTTAATAGTGAATGAAAATCATTTATTCTAAATAACTATCAGAAGGGTTTTGTGGATACTTTAGTAGTTTTACAGTTGAATTCATGAGTCGATTGAATCTAGACCACCATGGAAAACCCGAAAGCACTGGACGCCCGTTTCGTCCTAATAAAGGACTCTTCAGAAGTGCGCATCCATGATCCCGTCAAGCGAGACTCGAAATCAGGATTTATCAGTCTCTCGCGCGAACGCTTAACCTCTAGACCATATCATATAAACTTACTCTTTAATTTGATTTGATCTAAATCGCTGGGCGGAATCATAGATGCGTACTGCTGCGGAGTCCCATATTAGAACGAAACGCCCGTCCAACGCTTCCGGATTTAAATGATTAATTAATTAAATTCTTATTTTATTTGTTTGATCATTCATTTTTCATATCAGTAAATAACTTTTCATTTGAAGGGCATACATTAGTATAAAGTAGTATTTTATAAATAGACTAAATGTATTGCCTACTACACAAGTAAATTGTCCATTAAAAGAAAACATGATTTTAGTATTCTGTTCACCTGAAGCAAAATTTCTAACGCTATGATCGAGTTATTTTTAGATCGCTGAGTTATAAAATTGATAAGTCTTCTAATTGAATGCTAAATTCAGTTCCTAAGCTCTTCTAGTAACCCTCAGTCTAGATTTACACAGGAACTTGAACACGTGAGAAAAAGCGAGAATTATGGAAAAAACGCTTTACTCCAACAATTCGTTTATGTACAGAAAATATGGGTTTTTTTATAGTAGTTTAGATATCCTTGGGATATAATTTTGGAATGCTACTAAGCATAGTAGTAGTATACGTAATCATCCAACCAGAAACTCAACATATGACTATTCACTTTCTGGATGTTTCTGGCAAAACTTCTAGTGAATGCTGGTTGGATAAGATGCTTCTCAGTGTTTTCAGAGCCTTTTTTAACTTTCGTTTCGAGGAATTTTCTGGATCGCTCCAACAAAAATTAAATGTTCGTCAATTCATTTGACTTTTATAGTTCATTTGTATCGTAGGTTTTACATAATACATCAAGATTTGAAACTGAAAATTATGATCTTGAAGTATAAGTTCCTTCACAATTTAAGGTACATATTGCTTACGTAAACTAAGTAATAGGAAATCAGGGTTCAAGATTTCCTACTCTAAACTTTCAGTTATGTAATATCATTACATAATACATACAATGTTTAGTCACTCAAACCAATTACTACTTAGTTGTTAAAATTGAATCATTACGAAAAGACTAAACAGACATGGTATTTGTCACTATTCATAGATCATCCAACTGTAAGATGATATTCTGAAGTATATGACTTTGGAAAGTTGATAAACATCATAATACTTAGTTTAATATAGGTACATATAGATATTTTACCTAAATAATGATTAAAATTACAGAAACAGTGAAGCTAATCCGTGTCGGGTAGAGACAGGTATCTATCTCAGTACAATGGAAGATGGTCGCGCAATTTCGCGAATTGGTTGAGAATAGACATTAACACCATTGGATGCCGGTTCAGTAGTCTAGAATTTAAACGCTCGTGTGCGAGACTGATAGGTCCCGGGTTCGAATCTCGCGAACAGGATTGTGAGGAGTCCCACAACAGGACATTCAGTGCTTCCAGTTTTTCAATGGTGGTCTAACATCAATCGGTTCATGATCTCGATCAAAACAAACTCAATCTCACACTTTGATATCAGTTCTTATAAACATTTCTCGTGTTTCAATGAATATATGGATAGTTAACATTGATGAAATCAATATTCAATGGAACGGATCAATATAAAAGTCTAATTAGTTATTCCACTTTTATGACTAGTCATAAATTAATGCATTCTACATCAAAGATTCTGAGATGATGGAGAAGATTTGTAGCTCAGGTGGATGATTTTGATGGAGTTTTGTTCTCTGAGCTGGATGGTTCGGTCAGAGAGAAGTCTATCTAAAGTTTGTGCTGATGATGTCGTTCAAAAGAACGATGAAAGCTCCACGACCAAACCATCCAGCTCAGAGAACAAAACTCCATCAACATCAAAGATTCTCCCAATGTACAAACAGTAATTCTATTCTAATTTAGAAAGTTAATAACTTACAAATATATTTTCATTTTGTTTATAAAAACAACTACCATTTAAAAGAAAACAAGTATCATGCAATTCATGTACTTTTACTAAGTTTAACTATCATCACAAATATATAATACAGGGATTTCATGCTAAACTATTGAAATTAACTTCTTCTATTAATAATGAAGCATTCACAATTAGTGATGACTACCTGACCTTTTACGATATTCAAAGTTTCAACTAATTCCTTTTTCCCTGTTACTGTTACCATGGTTACGCAACATCATGTCCATATTCTGTAATATCTTCTTTATCTAAATAAATTGAATATTTACTAAAAGATTAGTTTTTTTTATTTTTTTAATTTGTAAACGATTACATAATCTTACGTTTCTAAATATTCAACAATTTGTTCATGACCAAATTGTTTCGCATTTGTTAATGGTGTATGTCCCCAACGATCAGTTGAATTAAGTGTTACACCACAAACTTCAATAAAAAATTTGACAGCATCTAATGAACCACAACTAGCAGCTACATGTAAACCAGTACGTCCATCATAATCAATTGAATTAAAATCTACTCCATGAATAAAACATCTAAAAGAGAGAAAAAAAGATGTTTTAAATAAGAAACAATATTGCACAATAATTAGTTTTTCTAGAAACTTTATATTCGGTCGTCGCTGATTGTTATGCCGGAAAAACGCTTATCACTTATACTCGAAACGAAGGACCTCTGCAATTCCCACGATGCGATAGTAAGAACATAAAGACTAGTATAAGTGATGATTTATTAACCCCAAAACACGACGACGACACTAGTAGAAAATACACTCATTTATATACTGATTGTCCACCCATTTTGATGAATAATTAAGATGAAATCACATAGTGAGCATAGTTCATGTTCATTGAATACAAGAATATCGTATATTATACAGAAGAAAATATCATACTGGGAAAAGAAAACAAATACTACATTGAGTAATCATTACATTGAATCAAAACGGAAGTAATCTTGAACCAAAACTCATAAGGAGTAAATCAATGGAAAATTGACATTTTTTTCCATCAAATCAGTTAGTTAGTTGTCCAACTGTATTTCATCTTGTCAATTGAGATGATAACAATGATAAGGACTCAGTAGCTGAGTGGATTGGTGACGGCGTTTGAAGTGAATGGTACTGGATTCGGGTTCCAGAGTGAATATCAACTCTGAGATGCAGGTACACACAGCTGACGAGTCCCAAATGGGACGAAACGCGTGTCCTGTATTCCGCTGCTAGCTGCTATCAATCTTTGCTTATAAAAGCTTGTGAATTAAGGCAACATTGAGGCAATACGTACAGTATGCAGATATTTACCAATAGAGAACTGATTAATTGCAGTCTTAAGCCTCAATGGGAAGATACAAGCAAAACAATACCAAGTGAATAATAATATTGTCGTGTGAATATAATATGTAGTAATTATGGACTAATAACTGTAGAGATTGATGATGAAGTTAATGAAAACAATTGTTTGTTCAAATATTCTTTATTTTTGATTATTCTATTCATTTTAAGTATGATTAATTTGACTTGTGTTGGAGTGATCCAGAAAATTTCTTGCAAAAGACAAGCAAGGATCAAGAAACACTAAGAAGCGTTTCATCCGATCAGCGTTCACTTGAAGTTTTAGCCAGAAATATCAAGGAAGTGAAACATCACATGTCGAGGTTCTGATTGGCTGGCTGCTACACTGCTACTATGTTTAGTAGCATTCCAGAATCTTCTAGCAACCCAAGGACATTTAAAATATTATAAAAACCCTGTATTTTCTTTATTAAAATGAACCTTGAAGTAAACTGCTTCTCGTATACTTTGAGTGTTCTATCTCGTTGTTCAAGTTGCTGTATAGTTCTAACTTGGGGGTTACAGAATAGCTTAGGAGACGAATATAGCGTTCAATCCGCAAGACCTATCACTTGAATAGAATGATTCAACTGCATGACGATATTTAATCTTTGAATATGGAAATATGGATTTAGAGGTATTCCATTAGACGGTTTAAAAGTTATGAACTTGTCACGAAACCTAAAGATTCTTAGTCTGGTCTTTTTATTATTATTATTATTGCCAGCTCTATTCAATATTATAGTCTTGGTACAATATATAATTCTCAGCACAAAGTATTTCAACAAGATTATTGAATTAATATTGAAAAATAATAATGAATATTCACTTGGTGTTGTTTTACTTGTATCTTTCCATTATTGCTTAAGACTGAAATTGATCAGTCTCTTGTTGGCATATGTGCATCCTGTGCGGACTACCTCCATATAGACTTAAGTCACAAGCTTTATAAGCAAAGATGGATGGTAGATAACAGTGGAATACATGACGAACGTTTTATCCTATTTAAGACTCTTCAGCCGAATGTACTTGCATCCCAGAGTTGATGTTCACTCAAAGACTCTAATCCAGTACAGTTCAGTCCAAACGCCATCGCGTTATTCACTTACCTAATGAGTCCTAAAAGCCACTCGCTTGTGCAATGAGGTGAAGTTTAAATTCACTTGGAATAATTAGCTTGTATCTTCCCATTATTGTTTAGGACTGTAATTGACCAGTCTCTTGTTGGCATATGTTGTGTATAATAAGAAAAAAAACGAACACTGCCTGTGATAAGAAAACTGCTTTCATAGTTTGTAAGCAGGCTACTTCCTAGACAAAGAGTACAACGAGGATTTAATGAATACTTTCAAAGTTATCAATGAACATTTCAAATCTACTTCATTAAAATTTTCAAAGACAATAACAATTAGAAGTTTTAAATGTGATTTTAAATACATTAGTAACACAAGTGATTCAGGACACCTGACTCCTCTTTTCTTCCGTTATTTGTAATTTCAATCTAATGAATTAAACTCAGACGATCTCTTTTGCTTCCTGAATCTCTAAATATTTTTGTGATAGTATATCATAAAACTATTTTTATTATATTACAACTATCATCAAAAGCGGTCATAAAAGGAACCCCTTTTTAAAATGGCTCTTATCCGTTATTGATCGACAATTCATTTTTTCATATTACGTTAATAACTGAAAATAATTAATTATATTAGCCCAGTCAGTCAGCTACAACGTAAGACCGGGTACGTATATGCATCGGTCCAAGTTACCGTACCGCATTAGCACAACAAGATAAACACACCGGATTCATAGAAGTAGTTAATTCAGTGGTGGTAATTTATAAAAGATTGCATATCAGGACATAATACAGGAAGAAAGAATTAGTATATAGAAAGAAAGATATGAAGCGATTTTAATCTCATAGTTTAAAGGAAGACAGAGAGTGTATACACCTACGTCATTATGGTCGATTCTGAACCATGTCACCACGAGTCTCCAACCATTGGTTACGATAGACACGTGGACCCCAACCAAGTAGTCTGCATCTACCAACATGGCTCAGACTAGAAGTTAGTGACTTTGTGAACTGATGCCACATTTTGGTTTGGCCGCCCCTAACTTTCACCCAACCACTCCCAACACCGGTTAGCATTGAACGTCGTGGTAATCGGTGTTCGGGCATACGCAACACGTGACCCAACCATCTCAGTCAATGAAGATTCACAACCTCATCAACTAATTTACCATCATTCCCTAATATCCGCTTTTTTATATTAGTCCACATGTAATTAAAAACAAAGAAACGTAACAAGACGAATGAATTAATCGTGTTCTGTAAGTATGGTCATTCTCATTTTATTTGAATTTGTAAAGAGAACCAGTTGACTGAAATAACATTGGTAGCAGAATTAAGATTATAAAACAGGGGATCAAAATAATCAAAAAAACTAAAGACCTAATTATTAATGACATCAGGGTTCTTCTTCATTCATTTAATTTTAAAATCTTTCTTGACCAATTAATCATTTCAGATCGGTTTGAATTTACGAATTACATAATCATAAATAAATTGAGACCTTAGTGACTAACTATTGTTAGAGTTCAGTATCAATAATAAACTTGACAATATTATTAGTGAAAGTAATACTAGTTTTTATGACTGTAAAATAGATTAGGTATTGAGTATATGACGTTAAATTAAGACTACCGTGTAAGTAGTGTTGATGTTAATCTAAAAGCACTAGATAAGGATGATGGATTGTATAATAAGGTAGTGGATCCTCATAGAATAAGATCGTCAGCATATGTATTACATATAGCATACCTCAGTGAGCGATGCTTGGAGGTGTAGAAGCGGATCAGAAAAAAAAACTATGGACATCCACATAATGATGTAGTTGATATTCATATGATTAGAACAACACATGTAAGTGAACAATATTGCTTTCAATAAAGATCGTCATCAGGCTTTACTCTAATATACATGAATATTTATGACGAAATTGTTAAACCAATCAAGGCAATATGGTTCAATAATCACAATGAATTAGAATAAGTCACCACAGATAATAGGTAAAAGTACAAATTGATAGTAGGAACACAAGCATACTGATAGTAGTAAGAATAATAAAATAAAATACGATAACAAAGGTCATATCAATAGTTACACATTGGAAATAGAAGGTCAAACGTGGATAAATAAACTTAGAATAATCATCACGAAACATTAAAACCATTACGTAATAAGAAGTGTGTAAATAGTTAGATAGTGAAGAATACAAACGGAAAGAGGCGAAAAATTACAAACAAATACAGGAATCAGAAGGGGTTTTGTGAAGATTTTAGAAATTTCACTGATTGAAATCATGAGTCAATTGAAGCTAGACCACCACGGAAAACCTGGAAGCACTGGATGGCTGTTTCGTCATATTGTGGGACTCATCAGGAATATGAAAATAATGATAATGATAACGAAAATAAAATTGAAAAAAGTCGTTTTTTAAGTGATAACTGGCCACGGAAGGGATAGGGGGCTGCGAATTTCTTCTGTACACATCAATCGGGGTTAAATGTACGAATTCCTATGGCTTCAGCTATATGTAGGAGAACTTCATTGTGAAATGATGGAGGTATGCGATAGATCACTCGAAATGATTCCGATTTATCTACAGTATGACCGATATCAATAAGATGTACCAAGATAGAACTGTGTATTGTTTTCATCTGGTCCTTCATCAACCAAGCTGGTAGATATTCACTCATTCGTTGGTTAAGCTGTATATTAGACGATCTAATTGAAAATAATTGTTCGCTTACATGTGTTTTTCTAATTTTCACGATGGGAATCTTTAATATTCACATGATTACCATCACTATTGCAGATGCATTCACACTTTATGTTTCCTTAGATCTTCAAATTTTAAACTTACTTCATAAATATTACTCAACAGATTAAAATTGTTCTTCTTTAATCACATTATCTATGCCTAGTTTTTCAACTAAGTCTAGAACTGTCAATAATTCTGATACCCTATCACTCTACTTGATAATTTATTCACAATATTACACGTTACCTATGAATGATTGTCCGATACTTATATAGTTAGAAAGAAATGAATATACAGTAATTTATCTTTATATAATATTATAGCCCAAAGCCGTCAATCAGAAGCAGTGACTTATCGATCGGATCAATGACGCGTA